TGGTAGCCCCAATGGTGACGTCACAATGGTGACGTCACAATGGTAGTCACAATGGTCATCATGGTAATCACAATGGTAGCCCCAATGGTGACGTCACAATGGTAGTCATAATGGTAGTCACAATGGTCACAATTGTAGTCACAATGGCAGTAACAATGGTAGACATAATGGTAGTCACAATGGTAGTCACAATGGTCACAACGATCACAATGAAAGTCACAATGGTTAAACAGAGACCCAAAATGTTAGTAACCATGGTAGTCACAATGATCACAATGGTCACAAAGGTAGTCACAATGATCACAATGGTAGTCACAATGGTAGCCACAATGATCACAATGGTCACAATGGTAGTCAAAATGATCACAATGGTAGTCACAATGGTCATAATGGTTATCAGAATGGTAGCCCCAATGGTGACGTCACAATGGTGACGTCACAATGGTAGTCACAATGGTCATCATGGTAATCACAATGGTAGCCCCAATGGTGACGTCACAATGGTAGTCATAATGGTAGTCACAATGGTCACAATTGTAGTCACAATGGCAGTAACAATGGTAGACATAATGGTAGTCACAATGGTAGTCACAATGGTCACAACGATCACAATGAAAGTCACAATGGTTAAACAGAGACCCAAAATGTTAGTAACCATGGTAGTCACAATGATCACAATGGTCACAAAGGTAGTCACAATGATCACAATGGTAGTCACAATGGTAGCCACAATGATCACAATGGTCACAATGGTAGTCAAAATGATCACAATGGTAGTCACAATGGTCATAATGGTTATCAGAATGGTAGCCCCAATGGTGACGTCACAATGGTGACGTCACAATGGTAGTCACAATGGTCATCATGGTAATCACAATGGTAGCCCCAATGGTGACGTCACAATGGTAGTCATAATGGTAGTCACAATGGTCACAATTGTAGTCACAATGGCAGTAACAATGGTAGACATAATGGTAGTCACAATGGTAGTCACAATGGTCACAACGATCACAATGAAAGTCACAATGGTTAAACAGAGACCCAAAATGTTAGTAACCATGGTAGTCACAATGATCACAATGGTCACAAAGGTAGTCACAATGATCACAATGGTAGTCACAATGGTAGCCACAATGATCACAATGGTCACAATGGTAGTCAAAATGATCACAATGGTAGTCACAATGGTCATAATGGTTATCAGAATGGTAGCCCCAATGGTGACGTCACAATGGTGACGTCACAATGGTAGTCACAATGGTCATCATGGTAATCACAATGGTAGCCCCAATGGTGACGTCACAATGGTAGTCATAATGGTAGTCACAATGGTCACAATTGTAGTCACAATGGCAGTAACAATGGTAGACATAATGGTAGTCACAATGGTAGTCACAATGGTCACAACGATCACAATGAAAGTCACAATGGTTAAACAGAGACCCAAAATGTTAGTAACCATGGTAGTCACAATGATCACAATGGTCACAAAGGTAGTCACAATGATCACAATGGTAGTCACAATGGTAGCCACAATGATCACAATGGTCACAATGGTAGTCAAAATGATCACAATGGTAGTCACAATGGTCATAATGGTTATCAGAATGGTAGCCCCAATGGTGACGTCACAATGGTGACGTCACAATGGTAGTCACAATGGTCATCATGGTAATCACAATGGTAGCCCCAATGGTGACGTCACAATGGTAGTCATAATGGTAGTCACAATGGTCACAATTGTAGTCACAATGGCAGTAACAATGGTAGACATAATGGTAGTCACAATGGTAGTCACAATGGTCACAACGATCACAATGAAAGTCACAATGGTTAAACAGAGACCCAAAATGTTAGTAACCATGGTAGTCACAATGATCACAATGGTCACAAAGGTAGTCACAATGATCACAATGGTAGTCACAATGGTAGCCACAATGATCACAATGGTCACAATGGTAGTCAAAATGATCACAATGGTAGTCACAATGGTCATAATGGTTATCAGAATGGTAGCCCCAATGGTGACGTCACAATGGTGACGTCACAATGGTAGTCACAATGGTCATCATGGTAATCACAATGGTAGCCCCAATGGTGACGTCACAATGGTAGTCATAATGGTAGTCACAATGGTCACAATTGTAGTCACAATGGCAGTAACAATGGTAGACATAATGGTAGTCACAATGGTAGTCACAATGGTCACAACGATCACAATGAAAGTCACAATGGTCATAATGGTAGTCACAACGGTCATAATGGTAGTCACAATGGGAGCCCCGATGGTGACGTCACAATGGTAGTCACAATGGTAGTCACACTGGTAGTTACAATGATAGTCACAATGGTAGTCACAATGGTCACAATTGTAGTCACAATGGAAGTCACAATGGTAGACATATTGGTAGTCATAATGGTAGCAACAATGGTCAAATGGTAGTCACAATGGTAGTCACAATGGTAGTCACAATGGTCAGAATGGTAGTCACAATAGTCACAACGATCACAATGAAAGTCACAATAGTCAAAATGGTAGTCCTTATGGTCACAATGGTAGTTACAATATTAGAACCTTCGGGTCATGTGATAAATGATAGTTACCTAGCATTGATGTTGTAGTATAGAAGACTAGTAGCAGACAAATCAAAATAGCAAAACACACTGATTTTATACTTGTTATCATTTTCCATATTCTCGACATAGATATCTTCATCACTGATGTATGTAACACTGTAGCAGTTCATATAAAGGCTGAACACACTAAATGTTGTTTGAATGTACAACAAAATCCTAATCCATACAAACTGTTATTGTTTGTCTCTATATCCTGGCTAATACAGGTTTCGTCCAAAGCTTCCAATATATCACCTGAAGCAAAAACACCAGACTATTGTAGTCTAACAAGTGGCTCAATCACAACAGAGTAAACAGGTTAAAAGGAAATGAATGCGCACCATTACAGAGTCGCTATAGTCTGTTTCATAATTATAGGATCCATTAAAACAAACAATGACTATATAATTATGTCACATGATATATGTGAAATTATTAATTATGAATTAACTCTTAATCGTCCCGTACGGGAATAAAGGGTTTAAGTAAGTTCCATAAGGTGTTTCTAGGTCACCGCAAGGCGGCACTGGACCAATTTGGTCGCGGCCTTCTAGTCCGAGGTCACTGGACGTGTCATTACTATTTACTGTAAGATCGACAGCGTGACAGGTTGGTGAGTGATGTATAATGACAGTAGAAACAATCACAATGTGTAGTCAAAGTAAACAAACCCACCAATTAACAAACTGAACTATACATCCTTGATCGATCGGTCACTGTTTAAGGGTTTCGCACTACAAAGGAAGTTACAACAATTAATAATTCACGATCATTAAACACATTTCACATATTAATTAATGATGCCATTATAAGTGTTAAGACAACTTATGTATATAGAGAAAACCTCTGGGCTTATAGATTTATTACGAGTTTAGACATTACCAGTGAGCTGAGAGGTAGCATTGAGTTTAGATAAACACCCGAGGTTAGCGACAAACCCCGAATTAAGAGAGATAACAACGAAGTTCAGAAATTATTTTTGAATGAAGGGATTTAATACTTCTGTGTTTAAAGATTTCTTAGGTTAAAAAAACAATTCTGCTTTTAGAAATAGCATTTGAGAGATCATATTTTAGTTTAGAGATTACATCTGTGTTTAAAGATTACTTCTGAGTTTGGAATAGCACCTGAGTTGGTTGAGAGATAACGCATGGGTTTAGAGAATAATAAATGTTTAAAGATTTCATCTGAGTTTGGAAATTATTTCTTAGTTAATTTTATCACTTGTATGTTTCGAATACTAGCATTACAGTTAAGAGATAGAATCTTTATTGTTATCTATTAATGTTACGGTTTAAAGTCATAATAGGTCACTGAGGTCACAGAAATCGAATGAATTCCTAACTAATAAGTTTCACTTTCCACTTTTTAACGAATTATAAATGTGTTACCATTCAGTGAAACCTTTCGCAATACCCACAGATAAATTTAATTGAACGATTTCACCAAGACACTTTGTTATTTGGGTTGATTAATAGAGAGTTGATACTAAACTGAAGTGCTTTTTTTCTCGAAAGAAAATGTTCATGTCATTCAAAATATCTGAATGAGATGTTAATTTTAAGAATACTGAGGGTTCCCTTTGGGTGTGATACTTAGGGATCCTTGTCCTACTGCATCCTGCCTTTTCGTAAAGCACCCCCCCCCCCCCCCCCCTCTTAATTTTGATTGGAATATAACTATAGCACAGCTGAGCAATGACTGGTCCGTTGACCGGATAGCAAGTGAGTTGTTTACGTTCACATCAAGAACACTGTTGGTGTTTGTATTTATACATATCTTACCTTTATACCTTTTTTCATAAACAAATCCCGCAAGGTATGCTTTTCGTTTTAGAAAATATTTCTTAAAGCTATAGTTAGAGCAAAAACGTTTTTTAATGCGTAGTTACTGTTTATGGCAGTGGTACGGAGAACCTTAATGCAATAAAACGAATGAAATTGACGACATACTTACTTATGTCACGCAAACATAAGGGAACACTTATGTTTGATCAATAATGACCAGAGATTTAGAAAATCAATATACGCATTAAACGTTGATTTATTTAAATTCATTCAAGTATGAACGAAATCGGTTACATCTGTATTTAATATTAAGCACTGAAAGGCTTAATGCTATATGAAAATAATCGATTCGATTCTTTTAAATACTTATGTAATTTGACCCAATATGACGTCATTAATAAACAGAAAATCATGTCAGTCACTGGCTTCTAGATTATAATATGACGTCATCATGGGAAAAACAATGACAAAAAACCCACAATAGCTTCAACCACATATTCTGACATGTAGTCAATAATATTTTGATCATATTTCTGAATCACAATTTATGACGTCACGGAATGTCTTCAGAATGATAAGACTATCTGTGTTCGTGTAAAAGGACACGGAGTCAGTCAGCGATAACGTTCCTTCAAGATGGCAGATAGAACCCTGGTAGCGGTTTTGGTAGCCCTTAGTGCCGTTGCTATTTATGGTGGTCCAACCTCTTCTCCTATTCATACAGCTAGATGTTTAGTTAACGGGACGTACTACAGCCCGGGAGAAAGCTTCCAGAGAGATCCGTGTTCCCCTTGCTTCTGTGGAAACAAAGGCCAACCTATCTGTGCTATCACAGACTGTTTCTTCATTCCGTGTGTAAATCCTGTCAACGACCCTACCAAGTGCTGTCCCATATGTCCCGACGGTATTGATATTACAAAGCTGTTTATATTTCGCAAGGATATAATTTAGCAAACGCATTAAAATTCACGAATGCTTTGTGAATATTTTGCACTTCTGGAAAAAAAGCTGCGTTAATGTTACACGCTATCCCGATAAGTAAAATAGTTTATGTGGATATAATATACTTTTCGTATCATCTTTTTTTATTTTAATTGGTCGATTGACTTATGTGGACTATACTGAAAGGATGCTTTGCAAATCAATGGATTCATGCAAGACAATAACTTTTCAATAGAAAAATCCTAAAATAAATTTGTTAAGCTGTGTTCCTGCGGAATTGCGCGACCTTACAGTAAATATGCGCCAAAGACGTAAAATGTGTAAAGTATACTCAGCTAGGTCCTTTTAAATGTTGTAAATAAAGGTTTAATTATTTAGCATCAAGACGTGTATATTTAAGAATTATATCAGCTGCATCTTCAGTTATCTAGCATGTCATTATATCCGATACAAGGTAAGGCATTGCTACCAGTCGATATTCCCGCACCTCTGACATACTTCGGTATTAAAAAAGAACAACATACGACCACTCTGTATAAAGTAGGGCACAAGATAAGACTCCAGTATTAGAAACTCACCCAGCCACAGAGGAACGGACGTAAATCACGCACGAACAGGTGAAGTGCAAACTTAATATCAGCTCCGGGAATACAGAAAAAGGATGAATAAGCTGTACGCTATATGTAATATTCTATCCCTTGTGTTAATATAATAAATATATTCGTCAAGGAATTGGCTATAACACAGCATTTCCGATAAACAACATCTTGTTCTTTTTAGATTAGGAAGCTCATGTATACAAGTGTATGATCATAAAAAAACGTATGACCTAGATTGTAATGCTTGTATTCACAGTTCAAGCAGAAGACGCTTATCCTTCTTGAACACCTGGTCTAATTATCTTTTTACAGTTTAAGGAGCTCCGTCCAAATCTTTCATTTCTGCATACCTTGCCTTAGTTTTATCGATTGTTTTCGAATTACAGTTTTTATATATCTTAGCTATCTCTATGCTTCCTTTTCTTTAGGACCTAACTGTCGTGTTGGAAATGTGACTATTTCTAGTGGAAAAGACCACGTTGTTGGTGCCAACACTTGTCGTTGTACAGACGACCATCATGCTCTTTGTCGTCCTAACGGATGTATGCATAATGGGAAACATTATCCAGATGGATCATTTCGACCCTCAGCCTGTGAACACTGTCAATGTCGTTCCGGGCGGGTAAGCTGCGCAATCGCCGATTGCTTTTTTAGCCCCTGCGTAGATGCTGTTCACAAACCTGATGTTTGCTGTCCTGTGTGCCCTAATGGTGAGTAACATATTTGCTTATTCGTTTATAAGCATTTCCATCGTCGTATCCGAAGACAAAAACCTAGAGGAAATCTTTTGTCATCTGACATTTCTCTGAACTCTAACCACCAACAGAATATTACCAGGGATTTACAGTTTATATAAGGCCATGTAAGGGAAAATTGGAATGTGTATTTTTTCTAGAATTTGTGCTTCTACTGTTGCTATCAAATAGTCGGTTATATTGATAACTATATCCAATTTGGTCATACAACTTAGCATGGTTTTGCTTGCTAAATCCACAGATGATGGGGTCACAAAATGGATAATTTAAGTGACGTTACTCTGAAATCGTTGATGCATCAATATATGTACAAAAAACTGTAAAATGACTCTTTTGTAATACAACGAATTTCCCATATACTGTTAGTGACTGCGAATACAGGCGAGATTAGATCCCCCCCAACTATAACCAACTATACAGTAACACTTATAAAACGTTATATAGTGACAGCATTGCTGTATTGTTCAATATGGAGAAGTACTCTAAAGTATGTGATTGGTGTACTCTTTTATTTCATTATATCAGGTCCTAATTGTTACCATGGAAAAACAAAGATCCCAGCTGGAAAGGATTATAACGACGGCCAACAGATATGCCGCTGTCCGGACCATTTTCACTTCGGATCAGGTGGCCAGCAGGCTGTATGTCGTGTCGTCATCGACCCTACCACTGCCCAGGCACATGTTTAAAAGGAATTCTTATCGAATGCTTCTTATAAATTTAAGTACACTTGTAGTGAAACCTTTTTAGTAAAATATTAAAGTTTCTCAATTGTTTTATTCATTTCACATATTGATTGACATTTTCGAAAACTTAAAAGCATTCTTTAAAACCGCCCTCAAAACTAAAAACAATTTGCTGCCATGTTGGTTAATCTTTTGAAATGATGAAACAAAACTGGTATCAATGCAATGAAATGTTTGTTGTTAATACTTACCAATGACTGTAATTTACTTATCCCCTCGGAATGTATTTTATATTTTTAACTGACTAATAGCAATAGTAACTATAATAATAATAATAATAATTCGAGGTTCTTATATGCCGCTTTATCATAACCTAGTTCATAGGTCGTCTCAAAGCGGTTCATAAATTATTATCCGTGGTTATAGGGCCTTTCCAACCAGCCAATACCTTTCTCAACACGCTGGGGAGCATATAGTCGGAGCTGCCATTTCGGCGCTAACAGATAACATTCAACTATTCTAAGCTGCCCAACCACATACTCATTTACAGCTGAGTAGACTGGAACAAGCGGAGTAAAGTATCCTGCTCAAAGATACGACACAGTGCCGTGCGGTGACTCGAACACGCAACCCTTCTGTCACGCGCCCGGCGTCCTGCCGCTAGATTACCGTGCCTCCAATGGTGATCATGACCTGGGCTTTAGGACTTTTCCTGGTGCATTTTTACTCTGACTTACACACATCATGTTTTTTATCTATTGGTTTATTTTATCTTTACTCAGTGTCTTAGTTAAAAAATGTTCTCATGATCTTATTTACTTCATACATCTAAAATGTTCATGATTAAATAAGTCCTTTTTCCCTCCTTTTCGTTATGTTTTAGAGAAACATTCTCAATTTGTTTTGCAATATTGTTAACCATTGATACATGTGTCATATTTTAAATAAAACATTTAATTATCAAATGAGAAAAACTATTAAATATTTCTGAATTCTAAAGAACAGTTTTGTAATGAGCATCATTTCATCAACTTTGAAGAGGTCCGTGGATAGTTCCGCAATGGTGTTTGGTTCTTTCCGCAAGAATTGTATTGAAAAAAGCACGAGCGTTACCGACAGACAAGTAAGAAAAAAATGAAAGACAAGGTATTGCATGATATAAGCGTTACAATAAAATGAGTGATGATTAGGTTGCATTAGTTATTCAATGTGCAGGTGCATATGTTAAATATACTGTAAAAGGAAAACTCACATTTCCTATCCGTTTTTGTACTATATTAGTGAAACCATATTTATATTTTAACAAGGGGTATGCACGGTTTTTTTTTGTCTCGTACACTAATGAATATCCTTTAAATTCCAATCAAAGAATATTTAGTGCAAACATTGTCATGTGGCATCTTAATTAAACATTTACCTTTGTCTTAATAAGCTGTCAAGCTGAAGTTCAATACATTCAAGGGTTTAAAATATGATGTTCCTGATAAGAGAAAAAATGTATTTACCCGGACATTTATGCAATGTTTAAAAAAACCTATAAGGCATCAAATAGCAAGTCAAAAAACATTTATTTTTAATGATAGCCTTAAATGTTGTTTTTGTGTTTTGTTTTTAACAATACAATAAATCATAGCATGCACATGTATAGACCATGTTTATACGTTACAGTGGTTAAAAATGTATGCTTTTGTTTAAATTGGGAATTCCTTTACGTTTGCGTGTACGTAATTGATGCCACCAAGGATTGTAGTTTTTTTTTACCAAATACCTGAAATCGAGATTTAGAGGTTGTTTTCCAATAATGATAGTGGTATATTAATGAAAAATTCGCGAAAAAAACTGCAACAATTAATTTCTCGCGAAAACAAAGTGATTTACATTATGTCGGATTACTATATACAGTGTATATATGGCATATACTTAAGTACATGTATGATATCACACGTGCGTGTCTCTGTTGATGGCGTCCAACTCGGTACTGTCGCCTCCAAGGTCTCTAGATCGAGAGCTTGTCGAATCTCTCAAGTCCCGTCAAATTAAACATGGCCAATTTTCTTGAAAGATCTTTTTAGTTTTGTTCGGAGTTTTGATATGCAGGTTTGACATTTCCTCTGCAGGTCCCCATTCCTCTGAAGGTTTCAGTTGGGACACAAATCTCTGTCAAGTCTAGTAATGGAGGGCAGAAATATATTTCAAGAAATAATTGTAAAATAAGGGAGTAACATGTTGTGAAAATGAACACGATATTACACTGAAATAATGGACTTTTTTTTAAAAAATAAGGTGAGTTCAAATTTTACATATACTTCAACTCTTGCCTACGTTTCACAGGTCTTATTCACGTCCCAGCCCATGATCAAACACCATTCTTAAACTTTCCGTCTTTAGCACAAGTGTGCGTTGGTTATTTCACATAATCAATATTTAGTTGATATAAACACAATGGTCAAAGGGATGTAATCTAGCAAGCAGTATACACTTATTAGTATAAGTTACACCTGGTTATTCGTCTGGTAGGTAACGTTCACAATTAAAGAAAGATTAAGCTTGGTAAGCGTAATACTAAACATTCAATTATGTTTGAAAGCATGAATATGCACTGATATAAACTATTAATTTACCAACTGATTCCGTGACCCTACATAAATTTCGCAAGGATGAGGAATCTCGTTTGGTCTGCCGTTTGACTGAAATGTATATCTGGTTTGATAAACATTATTTGTTCATAAAATCTGAAATAGGTATATTTAAGAAAAAAATTGATTGCAAAACATACAATTTTAAAAAACTGTTCTTGACAACATAAGCTAGAAGTTGGTCTCATAAATCCACACAGAGCTCAGTAACTCTTATCTTTAATCTTCATATTCTGTTATTTTTATATATATTTACATCCTTAAGTTCAGCTAAGACTCATGTTTGTGTCACTAGGTATATGCCGAATATTTCAACAAATAATCACGACCTCTACAACACTCATTATCCGATCAGGTTAAGTTCTAGCAGGGGTCTTCTCAAACCGCCAACAGGGGTTTCTTTTAAAACCCTGCAGAATATTTAGGAGCTGAAGCTTGTTTGTACTTAATGTTTTCCTTCATTATATTATCTTAATTTATGTATTATCATTTATTTTGACAAAAGAGCAGTTGTCTTATATAGGATAAATATTAAGTCTGACCCTTGCTATCTACGGAGTGCTAATTATATATACCTGCTAAATTGCACCTCCCTGATTCTATAGCAGCCATGCCATATAAATGAATTTTGGTACAATGGGTATAATAGCGAAACACAATCCGATAATGCCGGCGAAGTCAGGATACGTGTATGTGCGGTAGGAAGGAGGTTTGTACTTGAATATGCTCACAACCAATAAACACTGTAAATAAATATATAGATAAATAAAATGCAGTCCTTTGCTTTGCCTGCAGTAAATAAGAGAATAAAATATGCCACTGCATAAACAGCCTATGTGCAATCGTGTAAAACAATCGATGACAATTCGGGAAAATGTTGACAACGATTTACGGAGAAACCTTAGAAAAATTACGAAGATACGTGAACATGTATATCATACAGTGTGTTAAGCTAGCGGATGTCTTTTGCTTTATCAGTTATTCCTTCAAAAAAAAGGGAGCCGGGGGTCATGGCAGTAAAAACAGAAGAAATGATGACACGATTTCACTGGAAATATATCCCAACGCCAACGGATATGTACATAGATTTAAGGACCCTTGCCCTAATGCAGGCAAAACAAAAGAGAAAACTCTAGTGATTAGTTTTAACCCAACAGTTACCATCCCTTAATCACATACTGGATACAACTACCACTAATCAGGTAGCTCCAATATTGATTGACCATATTGCGATTAGTCTCGTTCAACCAGACGCTTGATCACTTCGACGAAGCTTGCGCAGACAACAAAGAGTCTGGTTGAACGAGACTACAATGCGATCGGAGATTAATTGTTCGAATCTCGGCCGGGCACAATTGATGTTTTTATTCTATATTTTCATCTATATTCATCTTTTTAGTGTTGTCATGAAAATTACGCAAGGTATGCATTTTCACAGGAATTATTTGTTAAGCTGTTTGTCACGCAAACACAAGGGAACACTTATATTTGATCAACAATAACTATAGATGTAGAAAGTAAATATACGCATTAAACGGTGATTGATTCATATCCATTCAAGTATGAACAAAATTGGTTACATCTGTATTTAATATGAAGCACTAAAAGGCTTAATGCTATATGAAAATCATCGATTCGATCCTTTCAAATACTTTATTTTGTAATTTGACCCAAAATGGCGTCATTAACGAAAAGAAAATCATGTCAGTCACTGGCTTCTAGATTATAATATGACGTCATCATGGGAAAAAACAATGAAAAAAACACCACAATAGCTTTAACCACATATTCCGATGTATGGCATGTGTTGTATACAAGTATACAAAATGCTTTGAAAACTTTATCAATAAACATTCAATATCAAAAAACGCAATAAAGGTGCAGTAGTTAAAGTTATCAAAGCAGCGTAATTGTGTGTTTGTGTAAGCCTCAGGAGTTTTGCTTATAGTGTCGTATTCTTAGGTACCTTTATTCTTGTCGACTAGACTGAAGTCATTGTTCAACTACTGTTGAGTGATTTAGTCGATATATCTGTAAACATGTACTATCTTAATAACTATATATGGCAGTTCTTCTTCACAAAGTAGACGCTGGAGATATTTCTACAAAATTAGGCCTTTGTAATACTTGTATACATACTAATAATTCATAAACTGGGTCATGACATGTAGTCCATGATACTTAGATCAAAATACCAAATCACAATTTATGACGTCACGGAATGTCTTCAGAATGATAAGACTATCTGTGACCGTATAAAAGGACACGAAGTCAGTCAGCGATAACGTTCCTCCAAGATGGCAGATAGAATGATGGTAGCGGTTTGGGTAGCCCTCAGTGCCGTTGCTATTTATGGTGGTCCAACCTCTCTTCCTATTCATACAGCTAGATGTTTAGTTAACGGGACGTACTACAGCCCAGGAGAAAGCTTCCAGAGAGATCCGTGTTCCCCTTGCTTCTGTG